ATTCCCAACAACACGGCGCCTGACGGTTCAGTGACTAAAGCCTTAGAGGGTCTACGTACCTTGTCCAAAACCATGCATGAACAATCAGGGATCAACAATCCTATGGAGGAATGGATGACAAACATGTTTGGGAAATGGAAAAATTTAATAATGTCTCTTCTAATTTCTGTGGCTACTTTTATTGCCATTTTGGTGACATGTGGTTGTTGTTGTGTGCCTTGTATCCGCTCGTTGTGTGTTAGACTCATCAGTTCCACCATTGAGGGAAAAGCTGCCCCTTCCCTTTCGTACCAGATGCCCTTGTTGGCCTATGCGTCGGAGGGGGAAGCGTACGATGACTCAGCTGACAAGGACGGACTTTTTTAGACATATTTTATTCTCCCTCTACTGTCATAAGAAGTTGTTGTTGTGAACTGTTCCTAACAGTTTAAAGTGCTCTACATCCCGGCTTCTGATGGATTTATATGAATATTGGGACACAGTAAAAATGATGTCAGTGGTAATGTTTCAAATGCTATATGTTGATCTCGTGAGGTGAGATCAAAAGGGGGATTGAAGTAAAAAGATATGATTCTACACTGTATTGAAGTAAACATGTATTATTTTGAATTGTATTTTAGTGAACATGTATTGTTTGAACTGTTTTAGGTAATCACAAACGGGTTTTGATAATCACTTAGAAAAAGAATGTTATTCTCACTTTTAAACTCATTGACCTAGAGATTCTGTGTGTCACACACCAACATCGCTCCTTATCACCCCTAAAAGCCAGATGTTGTTGTTAAGTCATTAAAGACATCGTTAAATAGGTGGAGAAAAGTTTAAATGTCTGAAAAAGGGATACTTTATGGGGGAAACCCCGTGGGAAGGGAATGTGAGGTAGATAGGGTGGAGATAAACGTTGACTTTTGACCTGGTGTAACTTAGGATCTCACGTGCTGGTCAGACCTCTGATTGAACCCGGCCAGAAGCGAATCCAGCCAGTCAGGACACTTGGGGGAGGTGGTCAGCTTACACAGCTCCTCCTCACGGACTCTCTGATTCGCTTGGGAGGAAAATGGGAAGGAAGAGTTGACTGATCTCCGCCCCAAAAATAGATACGAATACTGATGTTTTTGTATGTAAAAATGCTTCTGGTTTGCTGAAGGCTGGTCTAGAGACGTGTAAACCGCATCCCAAACCTGAAGTCTGTACTTCTCGTTTCCTGAAGGCTGGTCTGTCTACCTGTAAACCGCATCACAAACCTGAAGTCCGGAGTACTCTGTATAACTTGTATACTTGTTCTATTTCCTACCAGTAAACTCAGATAATTGTTATAACTTTTGATTCCGGTGTTTTCAATTCCTTTCTGATTTAATAGAGGCCAGCCTCATTCAACGAACGGCGCGGAGAGGGGGGCTATTCAGCCACCAGAAAAGTGTTCTACTCCAACAAGGTGCACGATAGAGAGTATCCTGACTGGCAGCATGACGGCCTGGTACGGCAGCTGCACCGACCTCGATCGTAAGGCTTTACAGAGGGTGGTGAAAACTGCACAGCACATCACCAGGACGGAGCTGCCATCCATGGAGGACCTTTACTCCCAGCGGCTCAGGAAGAAATCACTACGGATTATCAAAGACCCCCATCACCCCAGCCACAAACTGTTCTTTCTGTTGCCGTCTGGCAGACGTTACCGCAGCATCCTGGCAAGGACAAGAAGATTCGGAGACAGTTTCTTCCCGCGGGCAGTGAGACTGTTAAAAAATTGAACTGTTGAAACAACATCAAACATTCATCTGCTACTCAGTAGTATGTATCTAATACCTAATATATATATATCATTCCAATAACTTGTATATAGACTCGTACTGCACTATTCCACATTATAACTTTATTTCATTTTATAACTATTATTATTTTTGTATTGCTCATGCTCTTATTGTTATTATGTTATTATGTTGCATTGTTGGAGAAGCCTGTGACATAAGATTTTCAACTACATAATTACTCTGTAGCTATGTCAGATTGACAATAAAGAACCTTGAACCTTGAACCTTGTATGCTAAACTAGAGAGAGAATCGCTGGCAAGGGGGCTACAACTACAACAAGATGGACATATTTGACCGTGATTTAATTGTAATACACGTTTCAAAATGATGCCGAAGTAACAACATACTGATACCGGTTAGTAAAAACCATGAATTAATGCTTTGACAAGTCTGCAGACAGACGGCAGGCGAAAAACCTTTTAAAATGCGTGTTTTCTAAATGGAGATTGGCTAAGCTAACGCAGTATATGCTCCGACCGTCCACACTCACAACAACGGCCTATACAGACATAAATAAAGCAGCGACTGTATTCGCCATGACACAGACAGTCTGTGGTTTGTACTTGTTTAACTTTTGTCTAGTTTCTGAACATATATGAGGAGCTGTGAGCTCTGAGTGCTAACAGCTAACGGCTGTGTTGTTTTTCTGGGGTTCTCATTGAAGATGACGTCACGGCTCCGCCTACACTGCGTTACTATAGATACTACCCCAGTTCCTAAACTGTAATGGAAATGCGCCATAAAGTGAGCCAGTCCTAACGAGGCCTAGCCATACCGAGCGAGGCCGAGCGAGGCCGTGTAGTGGAAATGCGCCATTAGCTGCCACTTCAAAGGCACCAAACATGAGCTGTGTCAAGAAGACGTTGAAGCCAATGTTTCCCATGTCGAAGTACAGCGAGAACAAGGTTAGGTTCAATGAAAAACTTAAAAACAAGAAGAAAACAGATGTCATGCATTATTAAACATTCATAACACGCACATTCATTTTTTAACAGTTGCTTCTTCATTCAAGATTAAAGATTTGTTCAGCAGCATTAATAGAGTAGTGCAGTGATGACGGATTTTTGTTGGTTGACAAAAAGCAATGACATTTTACGTTGGATTTTGTGACATGGCAGAAAATAAGATCTGTGGTAAACGAATGTTCATATTACTTACACTTTTCGTTCAGCAAGATAATCTCCACATATTAACACCACATTTAAAGGGAAACACATTTTTTTTTACCGTTGGCGCTCATCCTAATTTTCGGCCTTGATATTCATAATTAAGTAAATGTAACACCTTTTTCACCCCGGTTACACTTTTCATTTGCCCTGTACGATGGGCGCTGTAAGTGATGAAAATGGGGGATGTTGGCTTATCAGGCGCCCGCAGCTCACAGCCAAAGGGCGAGTGAGCATGGGAGCGAGAGAGCGAGCGAGGGAGAGAGAGAAGAGCGCACGGGTACCGGCGCTGTTGTTATTAGAATCTGGTGCTCTAACGGATATAAGAAGAAGATGTTTCTACAATAATGTGGAGGGAGAGTCCTCTCCAGTCAGACTGAGAGGCTGATAACTACAGCTCAGTGAGGTAAAGGACTCTGAGTGTTTAGATCTAGTAGTAATTATGCTCAAAGTGCACCAGATTGAACCATTTTACTTTAACATTTTCAAAACATTCTTCCCGGGGGGGCACACCCCCGGACCCCCCTAGAGGATGTGGCGTCCATCCCCCATTCCATTGTGTATTCCTTGGATACTGTATTGATCATTATCTGTTCTACTGTACGATTCTCTGGCTGGGGGCGGGGGCGCCAGCTAAAATCTCGCCTAGGGCTGCTAATTGTCTAGAGCCGGCCATGCCTGAGCGCTACACTGCGCCGTACTTAATGGCAGCCTAATGCTCCTAACACTGGGATGGGTAAAATGCAGAATGTAAATGTCCCCTCTGTGGGACGATTAAGGGTATATTATATAATAAATATTCAGTGCAATTTTTTTTTAGCAATACTCAAAGTTGCATTCTTCTCTTGCAAGGAGAGGACGGTAATTGCTTGTAAGAGTTTCCAGAAGTCCCCAACACCACATACACGGCAGATAGTTCAAGTTAGTGCTTGTACTCTTAGTGCAGGTTTTCCCTCCCTGCACCTCACTATCCGCAGTAATATTTGAGATGTTTTGGCTTGAATTTCACCAGGTCCTGAGACAACACACTCAATGTCATCATGGAGGGTTTAACTTTCCTTGTTGCTTATCAATTTGTGGTGCTACTGTACAGAGCAACATGAATTCTGGTTTAGTCTTATCTGGAAAAACAGGACAAAATTTGGTATTTGGGAAAATTCAGGACAGTTCCAATTTTTGCATCTTTGATCCCCCTCAGGATATCCCTCGCCCCCAACCAAACTAACAGTGCCATTTGGAAAACATCTTAAGTTGCTATTAAGCTACAGACAAGCTTTGCTTCAAGCTGTTTTTAACTAAAGATAAGCTAGCCAATCATGAAGCTAAACTGTGGCTACAGTGAATTTGAGCCTCGTAAAAGATTAAACATTACAGCGTTGTTTTATTGGATTGCAATGTGTAACTCATAAACGTACTTAAATCTAAGTATCCCATGAAAATGTTTGATGAAACTTTGCATGGCAAAGTGTCATTAAAGTTGATTTTATAGGTCTATGTTTAACTGACCTATATTGTAGGGTACTGTGTTTCTGAGGTAGGCTACACATTTTGTATCAATTCCACTGGGGTTATTTAATTTGAGAATTTACAGCAATGTTTGGAGCCGTATTGTTGAGGTGGGTTCCTTAATGTAGTTGATGTGCTCATGCGGAGAATAGAGCACAGAACTTAAACTCTCTGCCGTGTATGTGGTGTTGGGGACTTCTGGAAAATCTTACAAGCAATTACCGTCCTCATCTCATCCTCAGTCATCTGCTCAGCAAACAGAACGGGGACTTTGAGTCGGAGACCATCAAAGAACTATGCAAATTCATGAGAGACAACATTTGTACCACCCTGTGCCATCCCTGCAGACACCCAGCAGAACAATACAACAACAACAATAACGTAAATTGCCATTATCAGGATAATAGTGTTTTAAAATCATGAAATCATGATATAGAAGTGAGAAATAGAGTAATGTTATTAAAATGCAGGAATTATGGATGAAAGAACAGAGTCACAATGTTGTTATTTTTAGTTATTCTTTATGCAGGGGAACCTTTTGATTAATCATAACTTTTTTATGTCTGATGAAAGGTGTACTTTTTAAAGCAAATTCATTACACTGTTAAAGAATAAACCATCAGACACAGGTCTACATCTTTGTTGATTCTTGATTGAGACTGGAAGATGTTCTTCTGGAAGTAACATTTCTGAAAGAAGCAGGACAGATATAGATGCATGACTATGAGTTATCCGCGGTAAAATTAGGAAACGTAACAGATATCAACTTGTCTAATACCGATGGAACATATTACCTGTTCTTCTCGACCTCATCAACTGACTCAGGAAGTTCTTTATCCCTGGTCTCAGGGAGCAGGAAGCTGAGCGCTCCAGCGACCAGCGTAAAGCTGCCAAAGACAGCAGGAGGTATGGACCAGTGGAACATGACCAACATGTTGAGCAGTGGAGACATCACCCCTCCTACTCTTGCTGACATGGCTCCTAAAGCTGTTGCTGTTTGTCTGAAAGAGGGGTGGGAGTTATAACAGTAATATACTTCCCAATCAAACAAACAGATCACTTGATTTCCATCAGGTTCACAAAGTCATTTACTTTATATGTACCGGGTTCTGTATCCCAGTCTTGGAAGTTTGCACAAAAAAACAAAAGGCTAAATATAAACTTTGAACACCTACCTAGCAGATGTTGGAAACAACTCCTGCAAATAAACGGTACATACAGCAGCAGCCCAGATCAGAAAGAAACGAGATGCGACAGCTAAAGATGTAACAGCAATGGCATATCCTGCAAACATAAACAAAAAACTGTAAAACAAATATAAAAAGGACATTTGTACCCCATTCCTACCAAACCAGTTACCATTTAGGCTCTGTGCTTGTGCTTTTCTGGTTCCGAACTGGTTCGCCTTCTGGCCCCAGTTGTGTTTCCACCGCCCAGAGCCCGACAGGTGCTGCGTCATGACATCACCGTTTACGCCGCTGATTTTGTTGGCAAAACCGCTTCGAACAACAACAATGGTGGACTGCGTCGGTTCGATGCTCGTGTTGCTTTTAATCATCTGAAGCCAGATTAGATTAGAGTGCAGTGGTTCATTTTTTACCAATGTGGTTCAGTGGAATTTACCGACCGCTGCAGTGATACACTGCTCGTCCACCGGCGTTTAATCTGCCGTTTACTCACGGCAGCGCCTGCTTGAAAGTATACTGTCACACTAGCAACTTCCACAGAGGCATATCCCCCATCCCCATAAGTGAATGTGAATTGTCACTGTTTAGAATTATTATGGCGTCATCAAAGTTTCTCTGGTATTAGATGGGTGATTTTAGCATAGCAAGCAAAACTAATCTGACGATCTTGTTGCTATCACAAGCCGTTTTCTACAGGCATTTTTCACCAGGCTATTTTTCATTATGATTTTACTTGTGATAGTCTGACATGGCAACCTGTTAAGCCTGATAGCTGCTACAATAAAAATAACAAGAAAACGTATGCCTGCTCTTCCTAATGGAAAATAACATTGCACGTGTTACTCGCCATGAACTGTTATTGCCCAGGTTAATCTCGCCCCAGGCTGAGGTATTCGGTTCTCGGTTCTTGACAGGCAGTCGAGTGGAGCCAGCTAAGAAACGTCTTTTCGGGGCCAAGAGCCAGCCCCGCTGCGGTGGAAATAGGAAGAACCAGTTCTTAATTGGGCACTAGCTCCGAACTGGCCTGGGAACGGCTTTGGTGGGAAAGGGGTTGTGATACTGTCATTTGGCTATATAAACCAAATGGTTTACCTTGAGGAACAGCCAGGATGAACATGCTGGATAGTCCTCCTGTCACAAATGTTGATATGAGTGAAATTCTTCGCCCAAAAACCTCCATTAGCCACATGGAGAGTATATTAGCTGCCACTTCAAAAGCACCAAACATGAGCTGTGTCAAGAAGACGTTGAAGCCAATGTTTCCCATGTTCAAGTACAGGGAGTAGATGGTTAGGTTCAATGAAAAACTTGAAAATAAGAACAAAAACGAAGATGACCTGCATTATTAAACATTCATAAAACATACATACATTTTTAAACAGTTGTTTGCTTATTCAAGATTTGAGATTGGTCATTTATTCTCATTGCCTTCATTGCCAATGAAGTGATGACGGATTTTTGTAGGTCGGTGCAAAAAGGAAGAATTGCAAGGTGTCCAATTACATTTTTCCATTGGATTTTTTTTACATGGCAGAAAATAAGATCTGTGGTAAGCAAATGTCCATATTACTTACATGTTTTGTTCAGCAAGATAATCTCTACATATCAACACCACTGTTATGCTTTTTGAAGCGTAATAATTCAATCGCTAGAAGTAAAAAGCTAACTTTATAAACAAACTACGTCACAGTCGAATGTCTGTGTGACACCACCGCTAAGCTAAAGGCGGACTCCTGCTGGGCGTAGTCTCTTTTAGGCTGCCTTTACACGGGAACGTTTGCGTTTATGCACAGTATGCGTTTTCAAAAAAGTCTTCCGTTCACACGCATTCATTTCATTTAACGTGTCTGTTCACACGAGACTGCTGGACACGCTGTAGTACATATGCCGGGCCTGTAACTGGCGCTGTAACTTCCGCCACAAAATACACCAAAAGCAGCGAAGAAGACCCCGGAGCATGGTTGCCATGGTTGCCCTTCTGTTTATGCCCCGCAGTGGATTTTGCAACATGTAGTAGTTCATGTAATTCTCCATGTCCACTTGTTGCTGATGGTTGTGGTAGAGGAGCTGTAGATTTTGCACTAACATCTGTAGCATGGTCAGTAGCTACTGACCATGCTACAGCAGTGAGCAGCAGAGGTGGGAAGAGGCGGGGCTATGGCTTCATCTATCGGGAAATGATCGTATAGAGGCGATTACACGGAGCCGTTTGACCCCCCAGAGCGTTTCGTTTCAAATCTATCCACCTTGGGACCCGTTATCGTTTGTGGGGTCCGTTTCTATCGTTTTGTTACGGTCTTGTGTAAATGAAAGGGCTATACGCAAGAGAAACTATGCGGATACAACCCGTTTCGTTCTCGTGTAAAGGGGGTCTTGTAAGCAATGCCCATTACGGAACCTTTGGATATACATGAGTGAGAAATGTGCCATTGCCATCTTATGTTGCAGAACAAAAGTGAATTTCTCTTAAGCTTGTGTTAACCACAGATCTGTTTTCAGGCATCTAGAACACGTTCAAAAACCATTGACATACATACAATGGAAAGAAACTGGTAAAACTATCTAATTTCTGGGTTTTAGGACTCATTCCTGCACCACTCTATTTATATTTTAACATTATCAATATGCTAAACATTTCTTCTACGATGAAATGACTATAAATAAAAGGTTACAGCCTGATACAAGTGTTCAGTATTATTAAAGAACTGTCATACATTTGAATATCTAGTATTTAGTCCACCTCAGATTTTATTTAGTACTTAGTAAATAAATAAAAGATTAAATGAAACTTTATCTTACCATCCCCATGCTATAATGAAGAAATATCTGGTCAGTTGAGGTGATCTGAAAATAGTTTTGATGCCTCCTTTGTTTTCTGGCTCTTTTATTGCAATCTGTGGCAGAAATATTATTTATGCAACTGTGTTACCTACACACAAGCTGTATACATTTAAATATCTCATTTCACTGAAAACAGGTCTGCTAAATGCTTTACCTACAAATTAGCAATAGGTATTTCGGTATTATTCGTTTGTTATATGAAAAAGATTATGACTTTCAAAGAAAAAATTGTAATAATAATAATAATAAAAAATAGAAACAACATTTCATTTACTGGCAAAGAAAACATGAATAAACAATGAACTATCAAAAGACCACCAGCCCGTTGTATGTCTATGCATTAAGGCGCAATTGAAGACAGCTAGTGGTGTATGAGATGTTCACTGAATTTGACATGAATATTATTGCATTAGAATTGCAACCTCTATTTTTTATTTTCAATACCTTTTCCAACAGAGAGTCTGAAACAGTGCGTTTGTTGATGGCTGCTGCCTTGATAATCAGCTGTTTAGCCTCCTCTGTCCTTCCTCTGCTTAACAACCACCTGGCTGACTCTGGTATAAACCTCAAAGAAACAAGGAAAATGCCAGCTCAAATAGTGTATTGTATACAAATAAAACAATGAAAGGTTATACAAAGGGTAAATGCTCACCATATGTAGATAACAACTACTGCAAAGTTAGCTGCTGTAATAAGTTGAGCCAGTCTCCAGTGACGTATGGCGTAGATTACACCAGCCAGGACGCACTGTCCCATTGCAGCAAAAAGCTGAGCCACACATGCTCCCCATGATCTTTTCGATCCCCCAATCCACTCAGTAGCTGCAAAATAGAAACAATTGTTGTATATTGCAGCAGTCAAATATTTGGAGTGTTTTGAATACTTAGAACTTTAACTAAATACCCATAGTTCCTGTTACTGTTGCTAACATTAGCATGATTTGGCTGAAAACACTACCTAGCCTATCATTAAAATGGGAACCCTTTAAATATGCAGTTGATGGCTAAGTTAATTTGAAGCTGAGTAAACAACTTAGCGAAAAGCTACACTTTATCCTGTAGGTTAAAAGTCAGCTTCCATAATCTTTCGTTTGGAAAAAAAGTGACAGTATTGTCCTTGTGTGTTGCAGTGTTGGTTACAAATAATTCCTTTTTTACATACACTTTCACCGCCAAAACCCCAAGGTAATCTACATAGTCAATGGTGTCCTCACTGGCTTTGTTTGCTAATGCTTTGTTCATGCTTTAAGTGGTGGGCTGCTTAGCCGGACATGCTAACGCTAATAGCGTCACAGCAGACCAACCCTATTAAATCCTGTCACTTTTGTGTTTGAAGGTAGGGTTGTGTTATATTTTGGTAATATACCTAAGATTTATAAACAGTTAGTGTTTCGTCCTTATTCTAAATATGTATGAACTCAGTATACATACACAGTACAACACAGTTGATTCGATATCCTCCACTTGCTGCTCCAACAAAGAACTGGCACACTACATACAAGTAAACATTGGGGCAAAGTGCTGCTGCTCCAACAAATATGAACAACAGAACTGCTGAAATTTGAGTTGATCGTTTGCGACCAAACCTGCAAGAGAAAAAGATGAAGAAAATTAAACTTTATGGATAGACAGTAGACCCTGTTACTGAACAGTGAATAATTGCCATTTGCAGCATCAATGTATAAAAGGACTTAGCATTAATATGATCACAGTTTGATAATTATTCTTCATATCATAGACCATAAACTCATTTTTTTAACTGTATGAAATACTTACGATTCAGCAAAAGGTCCAAATATGAGGGAACCAAAAATAACGCCAACCATGAACATTGCTTGTATCAATTCCATCAAGTTAGCTCTGTCACAAACTAGATCAAACTGTTAAAATAAATACATAAATGTTTCAATTAAATGACTCATAAAGTTAATTTGTTAATTTAATATCATAATTCTGCTTGAATACACTACTATAAGCTACTTACATCAGTGACTATGGTGGCCTCGTACAGCGTGTTGGAGTACACCCATCCATTCTGGCACCCTGTGGTCTCATTGAGTCCGTACTCCCTGATGGCACCAATAGACCCGTTCACAGGGACAAACATCTGACACTTGCTGAAGGTCCCGTCATCCTCTCGGGGCAGAGTCAGGTTCAGCTGCTCATCTGTAGTCAGGTTAGAGTCTGCCCGAAGGATCCAGTCCGTGTTACAGTGTCGCTCTGGATCTGACTCAATAAATACAAAGCTTGCCATGACAAAAGATTGCAGGAGATTTGGAAGGCAAAGTGCAATCAAAGTGATTTGCTGGAATAAACCAAATTCTCCAATGTTCTTCAGGATCTCTCCAAAATCTGCCATGTTGATGACTGTTAGGTCCGTTAGGTAGTTCTCAGGGTGTGACTGCAGCGGAGCTCCTCTTAATAAGAGATGGGTGTCTTTGTGTAGGTTCAAAAGTACTGCACCACAAGTTTGTAAAAACATCCATTAATGTTTAACTGGCCATATAACATTTAAGCCCACGGCAAGGCAAGGCAAGTTTATTTATATAGCACCTTTCAACACAAGGCAATTCAAAGTGCTTTACAAAAATGAAAGACATTAAGAAAATGGCATTTAAAAACAGTCATTAAAAAGCAAAGATAATAAAATAAACATTAAAAGAAAAAATAGATGAATAAAAGTTACAGTGCAGTGTAAGATATGAATAGTTAAATTAAAAGCAGCGGCAAAACGAAAAGTCTTCAGCCTGGATTTAAAAGTAGTAAGAGTTGCAGCGGACCTGCAGGTTTCTGGGAGTTTGTTCCAGATATTTGGAGCATAACAACTGAACGCTGCTTCTCCATGTTTAGTTCTGACTCTGGGGACAGAAAGCTGACCAGTCCCTGAAGAACTGAGAGATCTGGATGGTTCATAATTTAGTAGTAGATCAGAAATGTATTTTGGGCCTAAAACCATTCAATGTTTTATAAACCAGCAGCAGTATTTTGAAATCTATTCTTTGACACACAGGAAGCCAGTGTAAAGACTTCAGAACAGGAGTGATGTGATCCACTTTCTTAGTGTCAGTGAGGACTCGAGCAGCAGCCTTCTGAATCAGCTTCAGCTTTCTAAAAGATTTTTTAGTGAGACCTGTGAAGACACCATTACAGTAGTCGAGTCTACTGAAGATAAAAGCTTGGACAAGTGTTTCCAAATCCTGCTGTGACATTAGTCTTTTAATCCTAGATATGTTCTTTAGGTGATAGTAGGCTGATTTAGTAACTGTTTTAATGTGACTGTTGAAACTCAGGTCAGAGTCCATGACTACACCTAGATTTCTGGCTCTATCTGTTGTTTTGAAAATTGCAGACTGAAGCTCAGCGCTATCTTTTATACGTTCTGCCTTGGCTCCAAAAACCATTACCTCAGTTTTATCTTTGTTTAATTGGAGAAAGTTCTGACACATCCAGTCATTGATTTGTTCAATGCACTTACTCAGTGTTTGAATTGGAGCATAGTCTCCTGGTGAAATGGTTTTGTACATTTGGGTGTCATCTGCATAGCTATGGTAACTTATTTAGTTGTTTTTCATTATCTGAGCCAGTGGTAGCATGTAGATGTTAAAGAGAAGAGGCCCCAAGATGGAGCCTTGAGGTACCCCACATGTCATATTTGTCAACTCAGATGTGTATTTACCTATAGAAACAAAGTTGTTTCTGTCCTTTAAGTAGGATTCAAACCAATTTAGAACTGTTGCCGAAAGTCCCACCCAGTTTTCCAGTTGGTCTAGTAATATGTTGTGGTCAACAGTGTCAAACGCAGCACTGAGATCTAATAATACTAACACTGAAGTTCTGCCACTGTCTGTGTTTAAGTGGATGTCATTGAAGACCTTAACAAGAGCAGTCTCAGTGCTGTGGTTTGGTCGAAAGCCTGCAGCACACTGCCCCCATATTGTTTCCGTGCCAAGCATTGACTGGTATTGTACATATTGGTGGTGGTATCAGTGATTCAGTCTGTAGGGAGTTATACTTTGGACTGATGGGTCGCCGGTTCACGTCCCGAGGAAAGTGTGGACTGTTCCTGGGCCACTGCGGAGGTGCCCTTGAGCAAATCACCTAACCCCCAACTGCTCCCTGGCGCCGGCTCTGGATCCTCTTAATGCATGTGCATATGTGCATATATAACTGTGTATATTGTATCTGTACAACAAAAAATGCATGTGTGCACGGATATAACTGCGTGTATTTGTATTTAACTGTATAACAATAAAAATGCATGTGCGTGTATAAAAAACTGAGTGGAAAACTGAATTACCATCAATAAATCAATAAAGATGACTGACTTTTTTCTTTCTCTCTCTTTTTTTTTTTTTTTTTTCAAGTCCCTTTAGGGGCTCCGTACAAACAGGCAAGTTGCAGTCACAAACTTTACAAAGTAGTTGAGAACAATAAAAGTGGTCTTTGAAGATGGACGTGGTAACACTTGCATGTTATGGATTCACATTGTATACGAAAGAATGATCATTTATAACACTAGTGATGGTCTGCTTCTAGTTTTCCACTGCACTTAGTTAAAATATGTGTGAGCTATTTCAAGAATAGGTTTGTGAGGCCCCTGATACTCAGAGGGTCTATGCAGCGTTAACGTCAGCTAGCGATATGTGAGATATTCACAGAATTGGACAAAAAGTGCAATGTATTAGAATTGCAAACTCCACTTTTAAATTCAATACCTTTTCCAACAGAGAGTCTGAAACAATGCGTTTGTTGATGGCTGCTGCCTTGATAATCAGCTGTTTAGCCTCTTCTGACCTTCCTCTGCTTAACAACCACCTGGCTGTATAAACCTCAAAGAAACAAGGAAAGTGCCAGCACAAATCGTGTACAAATAAAACAATAAAAAGTTATAAAAAAAGGGTAACTGCTCACCATATGTAGATAACAACTACTGCAAACTGAGCTGCTGTGAAGTTGAGCCAGTCTCCAGTCACTAATTTAACACAACAGCTGTAAAAGATTTGAATTTATAATGTTTAGAACATTAACACGTATATAATAATAGTTTCCGGTACAGTAGCTAACATTAGCATGACTTGTCTGAAAACACATTCTCCAACAAATTCATTTTAAAATGCGAACACTTTAAAAAAAGCATTTAAAAATATGCACTGGATATGATGTAAGCCCTTTTTATCACATATCATATCCTCATTAGCTTAAGTGAACCATTATTATACGAACCAAATAACTGCTGAAATTTGAGTTGCTCGTTTGCAACCAAACCTGTAACGGAAAAAGATGAAGAAAATAAGTACAGTGAGTTTTCAAGGTAGGCTACACATTATAAAAACCTATCAAATCCAAGCCTTGTAATAAATCCTACTTTTATGAGCCTTATGAGGTTCTTTTGTTGTTAATGCTGACAGAAGTCTTTATTTTGTTCGCCCAAGCTTACATCCACATCAATGCAACTACTTTATAGACATCATATCATGCTGTATGCATGTCAAGTTAAAATCGCCTTAAATTATTGTTGGAATTGCTGCAAATGATTTACATGTACATATATTACACAAAAAAACAAAATAATAATAAATAAAAATAACATTTTTTATGTCTTAACAGTAACAGGCAGGATTTTGCCCTTCTGAAAGTACTTCTTATTTACTTTACTTGTTTAGTTATGTCAATAGATTAGAAGTTGCTGCTTTCTGCGGGGCATTTCAAACATTTAAGATCCTGTCTTTAAAATTGACTGTTGAATTTTACTGCTTGATTCACTCTTCACTCTTAGCAGCTGTTAAGCTGGTCAAACGTTAATTATTTGCAATCTGTCCAATTTTAATTGACAAAACTGAACAAAATGTTGTGTCTTCACAGATCACCACTGTGAAGAGTTTTTATTGAGAGGTTCTGCAATCATGTTTAAGTCGAAAGTAGATTGCAGAAAAAGGCTATTACCGCTTGCAAAATGTCTGAAAACAACGCATGCAGAGATGATATTTGTTGTAGGCCAAGCATTGTAAAGGCCTTCCTGACAAAAGGCAATGGGATTTCCCCATTGGAATTACGGTATATTGCAGAAAATATGACTGGTGGCACCCACATGTTTCTGATACTAAACATGTTTTGTTCAGCAGGATTATCTCCACATATTAACACCACTTGTGATTCTTGAAGCTTAAATGCGATTGGCAATAGTATATAGCGAAAGTTAAACGAACTTCATCGCGGTCGCATGGCTGAGCAGCACCAGCGCTGAGTTAAAGGCGGACTCGTGTCGGTGTGATGACGTTTAGTAGTTTATTTATTCACTTATTAGCAACCGCCAATTTTATGACACATAGAATCTTGGTCAAGAGTGTTGTGTTTGCTGATGTATCTTATGTCAGATCTCTTCAGCTTGTAGTAACCAAAGACCTTTTATCAGGCGTTTACCAAAAACATGTGGCAGACTATACATTTAGCTGATGCCCCTGTATACAACAGAACTTTGTTTCCATGCTAGTACTCTATCTGTTTCTATGGGGGTGAGCAAGTAGGTTATACACAAAGTATGGATAGTGCCGTGTATACCCTTGGAACAATCTAAACGACCCCTTTAATCCCTTGCAGGTGCAGTATTATACAGTATTATCATTGTCCAGTTTGTGTCAAAGCTCAATTGGTTACTGGAAAGAATAAACATAATTCAGCCACACAAAGTTCTGCTTATTTTTTGGGACCTATCTCTAATCTTGTCTAGGGAACTGCTCACAAACATATACCCTTCTGTGACAAAACCCTGTTCTGTAACAAGGGTACATCGTACATTGCATTGTAGTATAATCAGGCACATGTTGTTAGCGCTCCTGTACATTTGTAATTCAGAGAGTGAATAGCATCGGACTAGTACGACAGTCATAAAGCAATACCCTCTGATAAGTTAAAGGCCAATGCAGGTCAAAACTCATCTGTAATGATGTTAAATGTTTACCACAGCATCGACTTGCGGACTTTGCCCCCTGCTGTGTTTACATTTCCAGATCAGAATATACATTAACTCTGGGGTCCAGCATTCAAAACTAACCAAGTGCGCAGCGAGGCGGTCATTAATGAAAAAGAACACAGACAGGGTGATCTATCCTCGGCAGAAAGGTGTCCATTGACATTGATTCTAGTGTAATCCCCATGTCAAACATTTAAACTTTATTCCAATCATTTGTTTAATGACCAAACAACTTAGAAACTGATGACATCCCCATAAACCTCAGCCTTAACTTGTGTTTAGTGGTAGTTACATGTTAACGAGCTTGCTTAAATGGTAAACGTACTATCTTGCTAATGGTTCATGTATTAAACAAAACACCTTTTATGTTGTGAGCACACAATTTAGCATTGAGCTTAAAGCACCACCTTGCCTCTGTAAAGCAGTGACGGCTGCAGACTTAAAGGTGTTGTTTAT